CCTCAGCATCATGCACGGCCCCTCGGCCGCCGAGCCCAAGCTGCTCTTCTCCGTCCGCAACGATTTCCCCGGCGAGATGGTGGTGGTGGATGACCTGGAGAATACGGAGCTGCCTTACTTCGTGCTGGGTGAGCCTCCGGGCGGGCCTGCGGGCAGCGCCGGTACGCGGCGGGTCCCCTCCCCTCCCAGCAGCGGGCCCCGAGCATCCCCGGCTGCGGGGCTCCTCCCTGCGGCACCGGCGTGCGGGTACCCTGCAGCAGCTCGGCCCCGGTGTCGGTTCACCCAGCTGCAGCATCCCGGCCCCGGGGCCGGTTCACCCCGCTGCAGCATCTTGCAGCACCGGGCTGGATGCTGTGGAGGTGCTGCAGGCCTGGGGTGCTCGGTGCATCCCTGGGTTGTTGTCCGCAGGGCTTATCTCCAGCTCAGTGCACGGCCACCAGCGGCTCGTGCTGGCAGGAGGCCCACAGTCTGCTTCCAGTGTAGCTGGCCGGAGGTGAGGGTTTCTGCCTTGTGTGCCCCCAAGCAGAGTCACTTTTCCTGCAGCCTCGTGCAAAAATACTCCAGTGTCCAGCATTTCCCATCCCACCTGTGTGTGCTGTCTCCAGTACTCCTGCCCCCGGGTTTTAGGGTTTGGCCTGCTCACATGGTCCAGGTGTTTTCCACCCACACTAGCTAGGCCCCTGCACTTCACCCACTGTGAGGCACATCTGCCCAAATCTTCATCTTTTCTTCAGTTTTCATCCACCAAAAAAGCCAAGGATTTGCTCTTTTCTTTATGCAAGGCCTCTGCCACTTGTGCGCAGGGACCCACTGCCCTCCGCGCCACCTGGAACAAGTTGCTGAGATTTTTAATTTCTAGTGATATTTGTGCAGAGTACCAGTTTCCTACCACTGCCTGCATGTAACACCCCGCCCCAGGCAAATGCTGCCGTCACTTTCCTAGCAGCCCCGTGGGGGCTGTCCACACCTCCTGCAAGCATTGTCCATCTGTTGCTGCTCCAGCAGCACCTTGGGTGCCCTGTGAAGTTTTTAAAATGCCACCCTTATCTGAATGTTATCCCAAAAATGAGGCACTGGCGTGTCGCTTTGTGTGGCATTGTCCCTCTATGCCACCCTTGTGTGCAGGCAGAGCGTACAGTTGGCTCCAACCTGTTTTTCTCCCCAGCACTTCATCACCTCCCTGGCCCCCAGACCCTTCTGCGTGCAAAAACACCCCCGGTCCTGGGTGCTGTGTGGGCTCAGGGCAGCGCTTGTCGCTGCATGGGCATCTCCCTTCTCCCGTGAGAAAGGCAGAGGCAGGTGGGGGCTGTTGATGCCATGGCGGGGGGGCTGTGCGGGGACACCCACAGACGATTTGCTCAAGGCCAGGGGCTGTGCGGGGAGGGGGCAGCAGGCTGTGCTGCTCCCTAGTCCCCCGGTCCAAGCCCTGTGCTGCAGGATGCTGCAGCGGAGGCCGGAGAGCGTTGCTGTGGCAACGGGGCGGCAGAGCGGCAGATGCAGGGGACGCGTAGGCATGGCCACCAGCCCCGTGCTGCCTTGATGCCCCAAAGGCGACATGGGTGCTTGTCCCCTGCCACCCTTGGACCCGATCCCAGGGAGCTGGACCCCGATGGGTCCCAGGGCCTGGGATGCTGCCAGCGGGGAGCATCTGGGCAGGGATGTATGGCTTTGATTGGGCAGGCGTCCCCGGGCATGGCCCTTGGCTGGTACTGCGGGGATTTCCCCTGGGATTTTTCAAATCCACGAGGTGCCATATGCTGGGCAGCGCAGGAGAGGACCCACCTGCCCTTACAGCCCCCACTGCACCGAGGACTTGCACTGATGATGCCTGGCAAGGTTTGCTTTCACCTCCTTCTGCTTATGGCCACCGAACAAATATGAGGACGGTTGGCCCTGTGTCAGCGCACCCTGATGTCCTGGTGGTGGCTGGGCTGTCCTGGGCATTGCCGCCTGGGACATCGGTCCCCTGAGAGCCTGTCCGTGCACGGGGCTGCACCAGCCCCCGGCATGCAAGGGTTTGGATTGTGGAGACACAGAGGTGGTCCCAGTACAAGTCTCCCACCGTGGGATGCTGGGGCTGGGCTGGCAGGACAGGGCACCTCATGGGCCCCCTGTTTGCCAGGGTTCTGGCTTGGTGGCTCCCAGGAAATGCCACATTACATCTCCCTCCCTCCTGCGAGAGAAGGGCTTGCTTTGAAGCCGGCATGGCCACTTTGCCATGTGTGGGTATTATTATTGTTGTTGTTGTTCTGCTGCTTTGCCATGTGTGGGTGTTGTTATTATTATTGTTGTTGTTGTTATTATTATTAGCCTGGGCACTGCTTTTGCATGGCAGAAGCCCTGAAGTGCAAGAGGTCTTGCAAGACCCAGACTTAGTAACTCAGATGCTGCATCCTCTGAAGCCGGAGAGCTCCCATCCCAAGAAACCCATGGGGCAGAGAGCATCACTGCTGGCCTGCGCACTCGGTGGGGATGTGGCCATGTCGGGTCGATGCATAGAACCGGTGTCAGTGGCTGTTTGTGTTTCCACAAAGCTTGTGTGTGGCTGGAGGGTGCATTTGAGCATCCTTCCAGGAACCTGGCTTCACGCAGTGCTGATTGCACCGTCCCTGGCAAACCCCAGACCCATTAATTGTGCCCACCTTGTTGCATTTGAATGTACAATAATGTGTTGGAGTGGTGGATAATCCCCACATCCACCTCTGTGCCTCTGAGCCAGGTCTGGTTCAGGGTGTCTCTACCAGGGAGGGAGCTGGGTGACTGGGAGCTTGCTCCTTCTCCTCTTGGTGGTTTTTGCATCCAGGGCCTGTGTACAGGGAAGGGGTTCCCAAGGGGAGGGGAGCTGCCCCACCAGCTGGCAGGGGCTTGGACCGGACCCCAGGGTGCTGCCCCCGGGCTGGGGAGGGCGTGGGTGTGGGCTTTGAGCACTGCGAAGGGCAGGTGGTGCTCCATGGGTGCTCCTGGCAGTGGCACATTGGCTCTGCCACGTGGGATCTCGAGCAACTCACTCAAGGTTGTTCTGTGCCTCAGTTTCCCCACAAAGATGGCAGGAGTGTGCGGGAAGGTGGCTGCAGCAGGCTGGGATCACAGCAGGGGAAGGGGTGAGGGGAGCAGCCAGGAAAGGGTCAGGATCAGGGAGCCCAAGGGTATCCAGGTGTCATCCCCTGCCGGCCCTGGCTGTCCCCCTCAAAACTCCCCCTAAATATTTCAAGTGCTTTCAAGCTTGGCTGGTGTTCGTGGAGACCGGCGTGTGTGGTTTTCCCTGCCTTGGTGGCACCTCCCTGCTGTAGTGGCCAAGCTGGGCATCCCACCAAAGGGCACATGGGTCAAGGTTTTTCCCCTGGCTAGAGATGTGCTGGGGTCTTCGGAGAGCCATGTATGTTGCTTGCTAAAAATAGGGTGCTGGGGGTGTGTGTTGAACTGGGCACCCCAAAAATGGCTGTCACTCCCTACCCCTGACGAGACGCTCTGGTAACATAATCAACTTAATGATGAGTGTGGAGGTTGCGGGCATCCCCTCGCTGCTGGTGGGTGGTGTGGCAGGGACTTTGATGGACCCCCCTGAGCCAAGCTCTGCCAGGGCTCGCCCGTGTGGGCGGGGGTGATGGGGACCTGGGGGTTGTCTGCCCGGCCTTGGGGTCTGTGGGGGGCGGTGGGAAAGTCATGTGTGGGGACTGGCATCCATCCCCTTCATGCGTTTGCTTCTCCCTGCTGCAGGTAGCAGTGAGCTGTGGCTCAGCTGGGGACTAGGGGGGATGCGCTTGCTTTGGCTTGCCCTGATCTGCTGCTCTGCGGCTTTAGCTTTATATTTATCTCTACTCAAGAGGGTGAGGCATTGCTTGCTGCCCGCTCTCCGTGGAACATTTTTGGGTCTCACCACCCTCAGCCCTCCCGGTGCCAGAGGCAGGTGTGTTGAGTGCATTAGTGCTCAGCCCTCCCAAATGTGGGGACTCCGTGGCTGCTCCCATGTTCCTCTGAAAGCAGAGGGATAGTTTTTTGGATTATTATTGCTGGTTTATGGCAAGGGGAGGCACTTGGGCAGGGCTTTCAGCTGCTTCATAGCTCCCTTTGCTAATGAATGGAGCGTGTTTTAATTGCACTGGCTGCCTTCTTGTGCACGTGGTCCCCATGCGCATCACCTTTCACGCTCGTACCCATAAAAAAACACACGGTTTTATATGCATGTCCTCAAAGGGACTCTGACACCATCCCCCCCCCCCTTTTGCTGCGAGGTTTTTTCCCACCTCCTGAATTTTTGGGAAGCCGTGAGGGCGTGGGAACAGGGATGGGGCTGCTCGCTGGCGTGCGCTGGGCTGCCTGCATTTAAAAGCACCTGGTTTCATCCTGCTTTAAATCAAGGAAACCTCCCTTTGAGATGGTCGCCTTTCATCTCGTTTTGTGTTTGTTGCATTAGTTGTATTTTTTCCTGAAGGGAGGCCGAGTCTCACTGGTCAGTGGCCATTAAGAAATGCTAATTAGCAGCTCAATATTCCCTGTCTGCTAACCTTCACAGCCCCTTCTTCCTTGCTGCTTGGCTTGGCAGCATCCAGCCGCATTTGATATGTGATTAACTGGATTCACACTCCTGCGGGCTGCTAATTTTTTTGGGCCCCATCCTTCACAGGTTACAAACTGGCAAGTGGGATATTTATTAGCGTCCTAGCTTCCCACGGCCCCTTGGGCTCGGCGGAAATTTGCAATGCAATTAAAAACTGCGCGAAAGACAGCTTCTTTGACTCCTTCGCCCAAGTAACGCATTAGATATTTGAAAAGCAAAGTCTTGAAATGCAGTTTTGTGCATAAAATGGACTTGAGGAATGAGAAAGCGGAGCTGATGGGTTGAACCCGTGCTTTCTGGGTGCCGGATAATTCAAGATCTTGAAATACCAGATGGTTTCTCGTGTTCTGTTCTTTTTTTTTCCTGAGCATGGAGGAGCTGAAGGAGCTTCTTCTGCCTCCTCGGTTTCCAGCCCAGCTGCCGTGCCCTGAAACAAGGGCAGCGCAGGCCCTTGCCCCCCAACTTCCCCCACTCCCCATCGCCCTCACAGGAGCCTTGGCAGCAGAGGATGGGGGAAGGTTCTTAACTTCAATGACTTTAATAGATTATCATAAACTCAGGCCTTAATAC